CAGTGCTGTGTTATCTTTGGAGCAATAAGGAGGCTTTCCATGGTGCAAGACTAAAGTCTTTATCAACTGTRAATATTAACTGAGGATTTTAATTTCAAGTGAAACATTCTTGAAAAAGCCAGCCTCACTTTCGAGAAAAAGAGCAAGTTGACCTGGCGGTCATCCGGCTCGAAAATTATTTCCAGTGGTTGACAGCAGGAGGAAATGCACTACACTGAGCTGACGAGAGACAGGGGGGGAACTGTTTACCTTTCTCTGTGTTCCTCTGCATCACTCTCGCTCCATCTTCTTTTTTTCCCCTCTCCACCTCTGCTGCTGTCAGTCTCTCCTTCTCACCCCCTCATAATCTGGTGCGGTTGTCATCGCTGTGAGAGACGTGTGTGTTAGTTTGAAGGGACCGCTGACACGGTGCTCCTGCACATCTTTTAGCAGGGACTTGTAACTAATGACTAATGTATCACACAAACAGGAGGAACTCCTTGCTTACTGTAAACTAACCGCCTACTGATGGAAGGCAATGCTCTCCTTTCATGGTCTGAGCCAGCTGCGTTACTTTCACATCTCTGCAACTAAAAGTGAAAGCAGATTTAAATCTGTTATTTTGTTGACTGGGTGACCAAACGAAAACACACGACAGGCAAACACTGGTACCAGTAACAGCATGGCTGAGCTCCAATGCCTTTAGCTATGTAATACATCTCCCTTTGAAGTGTTTTCCTCTTGTGCTGCCTCGTGGTTGGCTTTCCTTGGTCACAACCTCACAGCTGTGAGAAGTCTTTCCATTCATATCTTTGATGAGAAACGGTGCTTGTACCCAGTCAAACAGAATCTTGTCGATTTTTTTTTTTTTTGTGACAGTGAAAAGTGGTGAATGAGTCAGCTTAAATTGGTTTTGACTCTCGGGCTGGCAGAGGCTCATCAGACAAGGGAACCTCCTCATTTTGCAGTAAAACCCCCTGAGGCAGTTTTGTCTCATCTGTTCTCATAGAGAGCTTTCAGTGATTCATAAAAAAAAATGTAACAACTACTTTGCATAACACCACTGTGCATTAATAAAGTATCTTGGCTCTCTGGAAATATAAATCATGTTGTGTTTGTCATTTCTGTCGTAATGATGTTGGAAATTCCTGTGTCATTATTTGGCCATGGAATAGTCTTCTGCTTTCCTGTCGTTCAGGGCATCTCTCCTTTGTGTTTCTATTTTTTTTTCCAGCCTGGATACCAAACAGAAAGAGATTCCTTTAAAATAAGAACCTCACCCCCCACCCCCACAAAATTTGTATACAATTTAAAGCTAAAAGTCTGATTCTTAAAAAAGTGCAACAAAAATAATTATCATTTGATTTGAGCAAACTGATTTAGCAGATCTTAGATTGGGCAAACATGGTTTGCCTTTAACTATAGTACATTACAAATGACATTATTTCACGTGTGTTAAAATGCAGAAACAGTGTGTGGAACTATGAATACACCCCAAAATTTATATAGCACTGCTTTCCAAGATTTTCAACATATAATTTTCCACAAAATGAAAGTACCAGACACCAAAGACGCACATCACGGTGTTTTTAGTAACTTTCAGGCCGAGACCTAAAGTTAAGCAACTATTAAACTATTTTTAATCATTTGGCTATGCATTTATTTTATTTCTTGGAACAGTTCTGACAAAAGTACATAGTTAGCCATCTTTTTTTCTGAGTCATGTCATCTCAAAACCCCAAATTCTCAGTCAGGAGCTCACTGTGAATTCTGAAGCTCCTCTGGTTTGTAGAACCAAGACAGGACACAAAAAAGCCATCATATAATTGTATTAGTCTGACAAATTGTTTGTGGGAAAAAAAACATGACTAGTTTGGAATCTGAACAGATTGATTGATTGCATTATTATCAGTATTATCATTGTATTTGTAGTAATTCTGTTGTAGAATTTGGGATCTGTCCTTTGGGTCATTGTTTTGCAGCATGACTGAGTTTTGACCAGCAACTTCCCACTTTAGAATGTCAACAGAATACAGAAAATATAACTAAATTTAATGCACATTCATGCAGAGTGTATGCAGGATGGATTTAACTTTTCAGAGCAGCTAGTGTTAAGTGCTTGCAAAAAATAAAATATAAAAAATACAACTGAATTTTTGCAAAAGTGCAAACAGCTTGTGCATGCATTGCTGTGTACGCTGGTATTCAATGCACAGTATGTGTGTATGTGAGGGTCAGAGGGATATGCAGACAGATTGTGGAGCAAGTTCTGAAGTGATCCTATAACTCACAGGTGTTCTCTAAACCTCTCTGACCCCTGCACTTCTGGGATGCAATGTTTACGCTGGCTCCGGCGGTATTAAACACAAGCCACATACAGTATTTTTAACATTATCCTCCAGGCTCAACCTAGACTATGGAAACAGTGAGGTGCCCGTCAGCCTGGATCAGTCAACACACTGTATGTTTGGACCACCTCCTTAATGTGTATATGTGAAGCTGAGTGTGTTTGATTTTGTTTACCGGAGTCAAAAAGGATATCACTGTTGAATCAGTTTGTCAAAACAATAGTTTCTATCACCCACAACCACAGACAGAGTATTTCCATACCTAAAGACAAAACTAAAACAATGCAACTGTTTTTTTTATATACTTAAGAGCTGCTTTTTAAAAGAAAATACCCTTTTGTGAAATACCAGTCTTGACTGCTTTGTTCATGGACAGTTGTAAAAAAAAATGTGGTTGAAAGAATAAAATAGACCTTGAACATTCTTAGCCTTTGGAAAAATACCTGAACAAAAATTCAAAAGGCTAAAACTCTCTCTTGCAGCACAGTTAATATTCCAGTAACATTTCGACATGCTTCAGCTGCTTGACTGTGTCTTTGCTTGTTGAAGACCAGGAAAAGCAGGCAACACTGACACCTGCGGGTTACTGGCTGCTGCACTGAGAATAAAGCACAATTTTTCATCTTCTTCTAGAAATTTTCAGATGATTCAATGAAATTGTTTTGCAAAGTTTGCCATTAATCACCACGTGCTTCCTACGTTCTTTTTTTATATATCAAAGCAGAGGACAGAAACCTTGGAGATGAAATGAAACATGCAGAGGCTCCTGAATATTTACAGCATCCATAAACTTTGTGGTATTCCAACATATTTTTACTAAACATTGAAGACATGTCARAAGTCCTGACAGGTCATTTTCAGCTCACCTCAGTGACCTACAGAGTGTTTGCATGAGATACCATAGTTTATATTCATACACACCATGAGATAGCTAAGCATGCTAACCATTCTTAAAAGCAGCCTCTCATGCATTCCTACATGCACATGTCGTGTATGTTTGTCTAGCCACTGCAGGTATGGYTAGATTCAAACACATGTCCACGTCCTCTGTCCCTGGTTCATGACTGAGTGATGTACAATAAATATAGTACATAGCATCTAATGAGGTGTGAAATTCCTCACGTAGCAGTGTTTGGCAAGTTGGAGCTCGACAAATTAAACATGCTGTCAATGTGTGTACGCACTGTGCATTAGTTCAGGCTGGAAAATGATTACGGTAATTATATGTCTATAAAAATGGACTCTTACTAATGCGATTTGATGTTGAGAGGGTATATAAAGTACAGTATGTATGTCCATTCTGTTTTTAAAGAGCATAATTTAGTTTTCCTCTGTCCTCTTAAGTTGAAACTGTCAGGGACCAGATGTGAGGGCTGTTTTTTAATGAGGCTCTGTGGAAAGGTTATGAGCTGGAAAACCTTCTCTGTTGTAGGTAGTTCTTTGAACAGCCTCTGTTTGGAGAAATAGCTTAATTTTGAATGTATGAGCTACTTTAAAGTGCCTGTGATAACAAACTTTTGTAATAAACATGAAAGCATTTTTGAAACAATAACATTGACAGCATACTGCAAAACAAATTTCATGTAACTCAGATGAACGGTTATTGAGATATTGGCATGTGAAGAAACAGGAAGTGATGTCAAAGGGGAATGTCAGCATGTAAACAGAGCGTTGTTATAAAAGCTAAACAACACAGACTGTAGAGAAGAAATGGATGTTTCTTTAGATTATTTTTAGTTGCTGTCAAAGAGAGACGAAAGACAGTTAAAGTTTAAATAATTTTGCTTTAATAAACGAAGACCAGCAAGTTTAATTTATTAACGAGTTCCCCTTTGATGTCACTTCCTGTTTCACTTTGGCCCAGCCAAATTTAAAATAAAATAGGCCAGTTATGTGTCATAATAGGTAAAACCAAGTGTATGCCAATTTTCTCAAGTATAAAGATACGTTTATATACAGGTGCTGGTCATAAAATTAGAATATCATGAAAAAGTAGATTTATTTCAGTAATTCCATTTAAAAAGTGAAACTTGTATATTATATTC